CTATTGAGTATTGTATTATGTATCTATTGACTGTTCATCTTTGCATATTAGTTTATACTAGTACTGTATTGTGTAATTGTTTACTCCGTCACACAGTAACGTTTTGTTAATGTTACTTATTTTTGAAAGACATTTTAGTTAGCTATCCTTATCACTAAGTGCTTCGGTTATTATTAATAAGTGTTAGTAGATGGACAGGAATATTCGAACGGAAATCTACACACTTTTTAAGACCTACTCAGTTGTGTGTGAGAAGGCAAAAATCTATGTCTATATGTGCTTCAGGTAGTCTAGCAACTATTTGCCACGTTTACTGTAATACTACCACTTGCAAGTGATGAACCAGGCGGGAATCGTAATCGTAGTATAAAGATTAATGCCCAGCCGCATAACGTACGCAAAAGAGCCATATATAGACAATAATATAGACATAAATATATACATAAAGTAATAATATAGATTATCATAAAGTAATCAGCACTAGCAATTAATAACGTATCATACATTCGTATTTTATAAAGTATGATGACTATGAGAGTTTTCGTGTTCACTATATATGGCTGAATACATTTATGAAAAGCTAAAACTGACACAGACAAAATATATTGTAAACACAGCCTATTTAGGCATGCGCTAAACCGGTGTAACTATTATGCAAAGATGAACAATACCGTCATTAGTATTTTTTGCGCAAGTGAATAAATATATAAGACCATATAACAAATCCTACAAGTTGTCAAGTTGATTGGTCAAATTTGACAAATTCCCCGATAATCACGGCCTCGCCTTTGCTTTGGCGAATAATTGTTCAAAGCCAAAGGCGCAATAAGAATCGCGTGTAGTTTATACTTATACGTGATAGTTTCTCAATATTTTGTATTTGCCAGGATACTTTATTACTTTTGTCACAATTGTTTCTATAAATCTATTATCTATACGATAAAGAAGAAGTTCTGCAGTATGAACTGTACTATACATACTATAAATACAAATATTATAATAAAATTTAAATATTAAATTGAAATATTACTGAGATGATCCTGTTATCTCACAGGCTATATCTATGAAATTGCACTCGTATACCTATAACTGATAGTGTTTTTTACCTTGAATATTATATCATGCACAAATTAAATATTCGTTCTCTGTTTAGATTTTAACAAGACGCCTACTCAGGCGTTCACTCCGGGTACAGGGCCTTAACTAAGCGCAAAGCTACTTTAACGTATGCTTCTATACGGCAATGAAGGTATCTTTAATGCATGATATTTAGCATATTAAAGTTGGAAAAGTGGGAGAACTACACCACTTGACCAGGTGACTAAAAACATATGCAATGATCATAATATTTTATAGCATAAAAATAAAAGGACATTGTGACACTAATTATCTCTAATAAAAGCTATCTAGTTCTTTATTAAATGTTCTATTTAAAACATGCGTAGGAGTGTTTTTTCAAGTCGTATATAATAAGTCGGAGGCCGTATTTTACAAATATTTTATGGGTTTTTTTATTGTCGAGGGTAGAAATTCGGGGGTGAAAAGCTTGAGGGTACATTTTAATAATTTAACAAAATAATAATTTAAGTTCGTGTTCACTTACTTTACTTTTAATTTTTAGCTCTTATTTTTATATGCAATTATTAATTTTTTATATGCGATTACTTTTTATATGACGAAATATTACTACATAAAAATAGACATGCCGATCAAAAGCGACAGTCGAGATATTTTCAAACGGCGTGGTGCATTATCTGCGTTATCTCGGATTGCATGTCGCAAGTTATTGTATCAGTCTATTCACTATATGGTCTATTGAATCAAAGTAATCAGGACTTGTTTACACCTTTCCATTACCATACGCCTTTTCCGGGTTCGCGACGCCATCTTCAAAGTATTGTTTTCGCTATTGTGCTTGCCCCACTTGCAAATTTACCTATTGGGAATGCCCGCAAATTTCTACCCTCGACAATAAAAACCATAAAATATTTTAGAAATACGACCCCGGACTTTTTATATATGACCCTCGACTTTTGTATATATGATTTTTCGACCCTCGCTTCCCACCCTCGACCCTCGAGAAGAACTCCTGAAACTGAATTACTAAAAATAGCTAACGTAAACAAACCACATTTATCAAACACGCAAAGAAAATTATTTAAAAAGTAATATATTGTTAGTCGTGTTATATAGTTAATTGTCAACACTTTTTCAATGCATGGTAGTAAGTTTATAACTGGCACCAAGTTATGTTGATATTCTGTTTATACAGATTGATTGTTTTAATTTGTAAGGCTTCTGTAAGTTTGTTATTATCAAACGTTTAGATTGTTCTAGTAATGATTTTACTTTAAGACCAAGACAATGCAGCTGTCGAGACCGATTTTTAATACTCTATAAATAAAACATTAAACTGTGTAATAGAAGTAATAGTGTTGGGTAAAGCTATCTATAGTTATATATATTTTATACGCGCTTTTGTCTAATTGAAGCGTGGTAGACAATATTGCCAATATTGTTGTGGTTTGCGATATAAATTGCCTCGCGAATCGAAGACTTTCAGATATGTCATATGTCGAATAGATTTGTGCGTTGTTTGTACTTCAATTTTGGCCACGAGGCACAAATTAGGGAGACTTAAAGAACACGAGTGACGAGTGTTAACACAATTTAACTACGTACAGTGTTGACAAAATTAAAAACTACCGGGCCAACGTCAGTAACGAACCAAGCCAGTTGTCGATCAGAATTAGCTTTCCAATAACGGCAACCGCTACTAAACACGCGAGAAAGTCTCGAATTTCGATTTGTATTTATATGAACTGTGGTCATTGTATAAGAACGAGTGTATGAGAACCCCTCCATTTGATAATATTTACTGTAAATAGAACTAAATACATTGTAAACACACCGCTCGCTCCGATCTACTACGAATGGCGGCTATTTTTAGATATTTCGTATTTTTGTAGTGCGTTGCGTGCGTTGCGTACGGTGCACCTGTGGAAGTGCACACTTGCGTCGCCTAAGAAAAAAGATTGGCCATTTTAATACTCCGGTACTTACAGTACCCGGAGTAATTAATACAATTATACGAAAATCTTAAAAATAATATAATTTCAAAATCGAAAGTCCAAAGTCCAAAGTCCAGTCCAGTGTTTACAATATGCCATCCTCGTCGCCATTATAGAATATACTGAATGATGATTTATTACAAATGTCAATCAACGTTGTTACATGCTTCGAGATTAATTATTAACTTATCGCATGCTACAAATACTACAGATGGGTTCATTTGAAGCATCTACTAAACTCGGAAACAGCCTCCAAAATTCTTCAAATTTGGCCTTGGTACCATCAAAAACAGGAACGCTCAAAGCTTTAATTGCTGAATTACCCCCTTGCATTTGGGTTGAAATTGGGCAAGGAAGGGTCGTAGTCTGGGTTCCAGGTGGAATTGGGGACTGGTAACTAGGACTCTGATAAGGAAGGGTCGTAGTCTGGGTTCCAGGTGGAATTGGAGACTGGTAACTAGGGCTCTGATAGCCTGCGTAGCAGGCGTTTAGCTGACGGGCGGGTACAGAGGAAACGCCTGCCCAAATGGCTATGACAAATTTGTTTTCGCCCATTAAGGATGATTGACGTTTTGTATAATTAGCACCTTCACCCATTATCCAATCATAGTCGAGATTTATATTTAGCATCATGCATGCTTTTTGCTCGGCGACTACGGAGATTTGCAGAGATTTTATGCACTATTTAAAGCAGCAGTGTTTTATCAGATATAAAGATGGTCTGATAAAACACGCACTGCGAATGTTTTAAATTGCTTCAAAAACGATCGAACTAGTATAATGTTCATTGGCGAAGTAGCTTTCAAAAAATTCGGTGTGTATATGCAGAGAAAATCATTAAAATTTATGTAAATCAAGGGAAATCTCTATCACATATCAAGGATACGACACGTTTATGATTTTTCTTTGTGTTTTCCTCATGAATTATTAATGAGTTTTTGAAGCTATTTTAGACAACAGTCAGTCACAACGTGCACAGAGTTTTTATCTTTTAAAAGACTCCTGAACCACGGTTGTTTAACGTATTCTCCCGTATAGCAAATATGACAGTTGAGCATGTTTTGACATGTTATTCTTAAAATCATCATCCAACCTCATAGCTGCAATGCCAAGTGATATAGCCTCAACTATCTGGTCTTGAATTATACTTTAAAGTGAACAAATAACAAGACAACTATATTAAAGAAATATTCAGGATATATTTAAAATCATGTATAATTGAAAGATCAAACTTTTCCGTATTCCTTAGGAAGAATCGCGATAACCGGCGTCTTCACCACGTAGCAAATTAATAATATACTTTCTCTGTTCTGGTTCAACTGAATTTCGAAGCCTATTAAATACTTGAAAAATAAGAAAGTTTCCTCGAAAGCATTATTAATATTAACAGCTAGGCGGCATATTTTTGATACGTGACTATAAACGCGAGCAAAATTATTGTTGACATTTGAGTTACGTAATTACTTCCGTTAACGAGATTAACCAATGGGAAGCTTTTCCGAAGATTCTTCGGAGAAGAACAAATTAATCATAGGCATTTGGGCAGGCGTTTATTTAACGACGCTCTTTCTTCTCCGGCCAGCACTAAACGCCTGCTACGCAGGCTAGGGCTCTGATAAAGAAGGGTCGTAGTCTGGGCACCAGGTGGAATTGGGGACTGGTAACTAGGGCTCTGGTAAGGAAGGGTCCGTAGTCTGGGTTCTAGGTGGAATTGAGGTCTGGTAACTAGGACTCTGGTGAGGAAGGGTCGCAGTCTGGGTACCAGGTGGAATTGGGGTCTGGTAACTAGGGCTCTGGTGAGGGAGGGTCGTAGTCTGGTCGTAGTCTGAAAAACCCTGATAGGGAGTGTGCTGAGTGATATATGTATGTATGTATATGATACGGTTTTTGGTGATACAAGACACATCCACTGTCAGTCTTTTTTCTAAACTCTCTATTCCAATATCTGCTAATAAGAAGAAGATCCCTTCTTTATGACTATCTGTTTTCTACAGAGAAATATTACGATATAGCAATTACAATTAGGTCTTGCGGCTTTCAATAGAATCTTAAGCTTTAAATGTGCCTTCGATATACGATAATCCTGAGTTGTGAGTAATGAATAATGCATCGCAATTTATCGTAATTTCAGTTAATTCTATATTCAGTCTATTTTATAGTTTGTGTGTTAGAGATTTACAGTTTTTGGTAAGTACACACTTACCATCAATTATCTAACATGACAAAGCGACGGAAGCCAAGCAAATACAAGCTATTTGAATTCTGATAATGACCTGTATACAGGTCACCAACTAGTTGACGACGACCAAATTTCTTTCTTCTCAAACATAAACTTCAGTAAAGTCACGAAATTCTAAAAATTGTAAGATGAATGAAAATATACTCTAGCGTTTATACAGGGTGTATCAAAAAAAACTGAACAGATTTGAAATTGCTCTCAATTTCGCAAAACACCTATTTGTATCTGGTTTTTTATATACATAGCTTCTTTGGGTACTTATAATGTAAAATAATGAAAAAAAATTCTCGAACTC